AGTAGTAGTAGTAGTAGTAGTAGTAGTAGTAGTAGTAGTAGTAGTAGTAGTAGTAGTAGTCGTCGTAGCAGTCGTAGTAGGCGCAGTAGTTGTAGTAGTGGTAGTAGTAGTGGTAGTAGTAGTAGTAGTAGTAGTAGTAGTAGTAGTGGTGGTGGTGGTCGTAGTAATAGTCTCAGTAGTCGTCGTCGTCGCCGTCGTCATCTCGTTTATTATTACTATTAGTAGTAACAGTAGGGGTAGTAAGAGTAGTAGTCGTAGTATTAGTCGTAGTAGTATTTGTAATAGTAGTAGTAGTAGCAGTAGTAGTAGTAGTAGTAGTAGTAGTAGTAGTAATATCAGTAGTGGTAGTAGTAGTAGTAGTAGTAGTAGTAGTAGTAGTAGTAGTAGTAGAGTAGTAGTAGTAGTAGTAGTAGTAGTAGTAGTAGTAGTAGAGGAGTAGTAGTAGTGGTAGTAGTAGGGTAGTCGTGTAGTAGTCGTGGTGGTAGTAGTAGTAGTAGTAGTAGTAGTTAGTAGTAGTAGTTACAAGTCGTAGTAGTAGTAGTAGTAGTACTTAGTAGGTAGTAGTAGTAGTAGTAGTAGTTATGTAGTAGTAAGTAGTAGTAGTAGTAGTAGTAGTAGTAGTAGTAGTAGTAGTCGTAGTCTTAGTAGTAGTTAGTAGTAGTAGTAGTAGTAGTAGTAGTAGTAGCAGTAGCAGTGGTAGTAGTAGTAGTAGTAGTAGTAGTAGTAGTAGTGCTAGTAGTAGTAGTAGTAGTCAGTTAGTAGTAGTAGTAGTAGTAGTAGTAGTAGTAGTAGTAGTAGTAGTAGTAGGTAGTAGTAGTAGTAGTAGTAGTAGTAGTAGTAGTAGTAGAAGAAGTAGTAGAGTAGTAGTAGTAGTCGTCGTAGGATTAGTAGTCGTAGTAGTAGTAATACTAGTACTAGTAGTAGTAATAGTAAGTAGTAGTATAGTAGTAGTAGTAGTAGTAGTAGTAGTAGTAGTAGTAGTCGTAGTAGTAGTAGTAGTAGTAGTAGTAGTAGTAGTAGTAGTAGTAGTCCCAGTTATTATTATTATTATTATTATTAGTAGTAGTAGTAGCAGTAGTAGTAGTAGTAGTAGTAGTAGTAGTCGTCGTAGTAGTCGTAGTAGTAGTAGTAGTAGTAGTAGTAGTAGTAGTAGTAGTAGTAGTAGTAGTAGTAGTCGTAGTCGTAGTAGTAGTAGTATTGGTCTATTCATTGTACTTGCTCATTGGTTATGTGTGTTGGGGCCAGGGGTTCAGGTGGCGCGCCATAGCCATTCAGTGTCAAGCCTGGTGTCGCGATCTCGCGCCCCCCATCCGCCGCTCGGCCGGGGGGGCCCGCCCAACCGCGGTTGCAAAACGCTGGTTGCCACGGTCTCCGTCCTCTATATCTCATGCCCTCTTTAGGGCAACTTTCTCTCCGGTGGCCGAGGGATTGTTCCGCAGTCTGAGTGGGTTGTCTGGAAGTACGGCTAGGCCAGATCGGGTCGTCAATCGCGTGGGCCCCTGGCTGAGCCCAGAGGAGGACCCCGAGTACGGTAGGGCCACACCCTGGCGTGAAGGCGACCTGCTCGAGGTTGACTTGTTCCACGACGACGGGTCCCTCTGCAGGCTTGGGCTTCTCCTTGTCCTCGTGGGCGAGGGGCGGCTACGCCTTTACACGTGCACCTTGCTGGACGTGGAGGACGAGTGGCACGCCCGGTGGGCTTTCGGCAGTGAGAACTTGGTTAACCCGTGATTCTTTCGTTGCACCAGTGGTGCAGGCGACGACGAGACCAAATACAAAGGAGGTATGGTTGCGCCTATCTACCGCTGGCGGGTTCTCAACCTGAACAGCCAGGAGCCAGGTTTGGGTGGGCTCAGGTGGCTTCTCCAGGACCCTGATGCTCATCACCGCTATCAGGTACCAGCTCAAGGAGCTGCATGGTAAGAAGGACGAGAAGCAGGCGCAGTGTCACGGATCTCGCGATGACGGGTGTGCTGTCCTGGTCGGTAGAGGCGGGTCTTTCTGTTGGAAAAGAGTGGGATGCGCCACGGAGGGGCTTGGAGCGCAACGAGGGCCACGGTCGCCCGTGCAGGAGCCGCCTGGAGGAGGAGGAGGAGGAGGAGCATGGTAAACCAGCCAAGAGGAGGAGCGAGCAAGGCAATAAACGTCCAGGAGGAGGAGGAGGAGGAGGAGGAGGAGGAGGAGGAGGAGGAGGAGGAGCATGGTAAACCAGCCAAGAGGAGGAACGAGCAAGGCAATAAACGTCCAGGAGGAGGACCAGCGGCCAGGAGGGGGAGCCAGGAGGAGCAGCATCGTGAAGCGTCCCAAGGTGCATCGCGGGAGAACTTGGAGCCGAGGGCCTGGTCTCGATTGCTCTGGTTGCATCGGCTTCCACCACTCCGCCCGGAAGGCGATGGGCAGGAGGAGGTACCAAGAGCCAAAGGAAGGTAAGAGCCAAAACGGGCGGCCACCCGTAAAGCCAACGATTCGTCCAAAAGCACGCCGACGCACGACGACAGGCGTCGGGGCGTTGCCCGCGGCGGAGCTGGACCCGCTCGCGGAGCAGGCGTCGCCAGACGCGAGGCTCTTCATCGGCGCCTTTCCCTCCGCGACGCACTTCGGCCAAGCGCGTCTGGTCTGGTACGCTCGGAAGCGTCCGGGTCGCCTAGCGGCTCGCCTCCTGCATGGCATGAAGGGCCGCGTAGGCAGGGGCGGAGAGGCAGCGTCGTGGTGCCCAGGATGCTCTCGGGCTCGATGCGGAACTTCAGGGGGCTGGAGACCCTCGGCGTCATATTAGATCGTCTGGCGCTGGGGCGGGTCCGCGAGGCGGCGGACGCTGTGGCCACGAAGGTGAAGGCGGCAGAAATGGCGGCGAAGGACGGGGGTCGGCTACGGGCGTGCTTCCTGGAAATCGTCGAGAGCCACGCCACCAGCTTGGCCAGCGAGGAGGAGGAGGAGGAGGAGGAGGAGGAGCTACTGGCAACGCAGGAGATGAGGATGAGGAGGGAATTTCATGCTGGACAGGGCCTTGTGGGGAATGGCCTCAAGGGCGACTGGAAGAACTCTCCGGAGGCGATTCCGCTGGGCAAGGGAACGGCAAGGGAAAGGCGAAGGACAGGGGCAAGAGCAAGGGTAACGGCAAGAAGGGCCACCAACACTACCGCGGCAGGAAAGGGGACAACGGGTGGGGAAGATGGTATTGGGCCCAGGGTTGACAGGGATCCTCAGCCACGGTTTGCTGGCCAAGTCGCTCGGGGAATGGCAGGATGCCCCGCGGTCAGCAGCTTCGGTGCGCGGGTCTTCCCATGGCGTACTTGTGTTCTTGGTTGTGCTGCTATATCCACGCCCAGCTGTACATCTTGTTTCAGCTCTCCTTTGAGTGCGTATGGCAGCACCTCGTTAAAGTGGACTCTCCCATCTCGGCCTCTTCGCGTTCGCCATGTTTATCTCCGTCGCAGGGTCGACCACCGATCCTCGGGCTCTCACTTGACGTGATCACGCCACGCGATATTCAGGTGGTTACGCGGAGTTGGTGACCGTTTTTTGTTGCTTTTTCCTCTTCTTCTTCTACCCCTTCCCCATCGGGTGATATGTTTGCGGTCGACTTGGTTGGCGTTCAGCTCTTGTGGCTCATCAGCGCTCGCATTTCTCCTCGGGTAGAGCATTGTCTGGCGCTCTCGTTGGGCGCCCTCCTGTCCATGAACTTTCTGGCGTGTGCTGGTTGGGCCCCAGCTCCCGCCTGCGTCTCCTGTTCCTTGTCGTTGAGCCCGGCGCAGGCTCGGACTTCGGATCTTCTTCGGGGCGCTTGCGCAGATATTGTCCGGCATCCGGCATCCTTCCGCACCGTTCTGCGTGGGCGCCGTTGTCTATGAGCTGCAAACCACGGCAGTTGATTATTCTGGCCGCGTGGTTTCTCGCGGGCGTGCGCTGGGGGCCGCCGAGGTTATCCCGTGGTGGTCTGAAATTGGGAAGGCATGTTGCATCGCGAGTTACCGAGTTCGTTTCTGAAGAGCTTCAAGATGCCCTCTCATATCCGAGGCGATGTCTTCTCCCCCCTGGAAGGTTCCCCGCGGTCCCGCCTCGGTCCATGGTGCGCGCGAGCGATGGCGAGTGGCGCTCCTCAGTCAAGGCCAGCGTCGCCAGGGGCGCGCTTGGCGAGGTCGTGGATTTTTTCTTTTCGCGACCCGTCGGGCAATTTTATTTTGATCTGGGCCGCGGGCGTGGATGAGTTCAAAGTCGGTCGTCGACAGGGTCTAGGAACATTTCCTCTGGTACATCTTCGCCTTCGTCCCGATTGACGCTACTAAGCGCCGGCTACGCGGCGGGAGCTCTTCCACGCAGCTGGCGCAGCTCTCCTTCGCGGCTTTGGGCGACGAGGAAGTCTATGCATCGATTCCGAGGACGTGGAGAGCTGGTTCGACATGTTCTCGGCGCCTCGTTGCTGGGCCTGGTTCTTCGCGTTCTCCCAGGCGGCCACTTCTCGCGTCTTCGGCGGTCGCGCGAGCGCTGCTGCTGGTGTCTGCGCGCGGGCGGCTCCGATGGGTGGATCGGTGGTCGGCGTGGGCCCCGTGCAGGGCGCGGCTCGTCGAGCGGGGGGGTTCCCCGGATCCTTTTGTTCTTCCGGGCGCCGAGCTGCTGAAGTTCGAGCCTGTGCCTGCAGGCGACATTTCCCTGGCGTGCATGGGTGGGTTTGCTTATCTGGAGAAGGGCCTGCGCGACGCGCCGGGCAGTCTCGCCGCGGCGCTTCAGGGCGGGTGCGGCACCGCGCAGGTTATTGCCCAAGCTGCTGCAGCACGGGGCCTTGTTGCCCCCCGTTCGTTCAGGTGTCGAGCCCTTGCTATCGCGGACTTCTGCCGCTCGGTAAGCGTCCCGCTGGGCGCCGGCAAGGAGGTCTTGCGCGTCTTGCGGGTCATTATATTGGGGGCGATCTTGGTGGCCTCGGGTAGATTTCGCGCGGCGCGGATGAGGGCATGGAGCTGTTCTGGAAAACCGTGGCTCGGTGGCTCTGCTTTGCCTTCCCGCTTGGTCCTCTGCGTCTCGATCTGCGGCATTGGGCAGGTCTGCAATGTTTCGCTGGCCAGTTCCGCCGCCCGTTTTTCTCGGTCATGCTGGAGATATTCCCCAGGATTTGCTGGGCCGAGTTCAGCGCGGGCGTCGCCCCGTGCTCCGACGGCGCGATTGTTGCCGAGATAGTTGCGAGCGCGTGGATTCGCGACGTCACGTGCTGCAGTGGCGCTTCAAATGAAGGCGGGGGCGCTGCGGAGGCGCGAGCGTTCGCGGGCGCGCTCGCGCCGCGGCGGGAGGGGCAGCGCGAGGCGTGGATGGCGACGCAGTCGGAGGAAAGCGGGCGGGTCTGCCAGGGCGTAGAGGCTTTCAGGTGCGGCGCGTTCCGTGCCCCGCGCGACGCGTCGCAGCGCTCGTTGGCCCGTGGCCTCGGGCAGTGGGCTCCTTGTGCGTCTTCGTGCTGCCTTCGTTTCTGCTTGATCCGCTGTCAGCTGGCCCGCGGGGCCTCGCGCCTGGGGCGGGGGGGTATCGGGCGCCGCTTCGCAGCGGGTTTCTCCGGCGCACGGGCCCCGCTGACTTGGGCCGCGGCCTCGGCGGGCATCGCAGTGCGCGGGCCTTGTCACATTGCCCAGAGGGGGATCGGGGGCGTGAATCCGTGCAGTCGTGCATTTCGCCCTAGACAGCATTCCTTTTTCCCGGCGGGGGTGGGCGTTGACGCGCCAGTGCTCCCGAATGGGGGCGCGGGTTTCAGTGGCTGGGGGGTGGGCGGCGGTCGATTGGCGCCTCGTGCGCCCGCGGTTTCTTTCGGGGCCAGGCAGGCGGCAGGATGAGGGGGGGGGGGGGGGCGCGAGGAGGGCGAGGGAAGGTGGGGGGGGGGCGGGCGCGAGGAGCAAAGGGGGGGGGGGCGAAAAGGAGGCCCTCATCGTTCCTTTCTTCCTCCATCGTCGCCCCCCCCCCGCCTTCCCCAGCCGACCCCGATGGTCCCGCGCGAAAGTCCCTGCATGTTCGTCCTGCGATGGACTATTGCGCCATTTTTGTGCCTTGTTGAGCGGCGTCCCGCCACGTCGCGCCGGGTTGTATCGCCGCTGCTCCGCAGTCGGCTCGAGCACGTTCTTCCGCGCCGAGCATGCATCAGCGATGCCCGCGGCCTCCAAGCATGCGACTTCGGGCTCGCGGAGCAGCGCGAAGGCGGCGACCTTGCCCTATGGCGACGATCTCGGCTCCCATGAGTAATTTGGGCAAGGCGGTGCCTAGTGTGCCACGGGGGGTTGTCTGGCTTCGAGAGGGGCCGCGAGTCCGTCGCCCGTGATTATCTCGTGGGAGGTATCAATTTGCCGGTGCATGACAAGCGCATCAGGTCGGATGCCGCGGGACGCATCAACATATGCGCCCTCGAGGAGTTTAGCCGCGCATCCGCGTGGCCGGATTGCTTCGTTGCAATGTCCACGTGTGGTTCTTTGGATCCGACGCGGTTGTCCAAACAGGTGTCGGTCCTAATCGATGTCACCGTCGAACAGATGGGCCGCGCGACCGCTTTCGACCCCAAGGTGGCTGCGATGATCTGGTGTTTCATCCGCAACGCGTCGCCGTCTGCGGCATTCCTCGAGAGTTGCCTGAACCAGATCGCGCGCAGGGTGGCGTGCGCGCTCCGCCGCAAAGATGTCGGCGATCGCGTTCGCCTGCTGGTGGACGCCCAGAACAGCAATGAACAGTTCCTGGACGTCGCCGTTGGCAAGATCAACTGGAAGTTTGGCGTGTGCTCGCTTGAGTTTTCGCCAACGGGGGTGCTCGTGAAGATCGCCCGCCGCCCGAGTGGGCACTTTGTCACCGAGGGCCTCGACTGCATAGCCGACGATTGGGACTTGCAAAGCAAACGAATTCGTTTGACATGCTGGCAAAGATCATCATCGGCACCAGGCGCAAGGAGACATTGCGCGCGTCGCTCCCCCAGACAAAGAAGGAGGGCCCGTGCGCGTGCGAGACTATCGCGGGGGGGTGCAAGCAATTCGAGCCGTGCGTGCAGCGGGCCGTCAGGGAGTGCGCCAAGACGACAATGACGAACACGCCGTCACTGCCGAGGACGTGGAGGCTTTCTCGACTCCCGCCAAGACCATGCAGGACAAAGAGGCCAAGCGTGCGAGGGAGGGCCTTGCGAAGCGTGCGGAGGAGGCGGACAAGAGGCGCCGCGTCACTTTCAAAGTGAGCCCCGGAGCGAAGCCTGCTTCCCAACCGCCGGCCGCGGGCTGAAACCGAGGCTGCCGGCGATAACAAGGACTAGTCCGCGGAGAGCGCCTTCCTGTCCGGGGAGTGGGCGCGCGGCAGTCGCCGGTCGTAGTGCTGCATCGCTGCTCCGTTCAAGTCTTGCGAAGCCGACATTCGGCGCGTTGGCTGACTTGCGTCGGCGCGCCGAGATGTGGGTGGCCACATTCGCAAGTCGTGCGAGTTTGCGCGCCGATTTCTCGGTGGTCTTCTTCTGCCTGCGTTCGAGGGGCGATTGCAAGCTATCGCTTGTGGGTGTGGTGTGGCTGGGTACGCGCGAGCAGTGCATGGATCGCGCGGCGCGGCTCCCGCAGGACATCCGAGCACGCGACGTTGGCGCGTCAGAGTTGTCCGCCCTGCTGCTTGGCGGGGGAGGCCAAACCAACGCTGCTCAGCTGAAGAACGCGCCGTCGCCGTCTGCATCGATCGTCCAGCTGCGTTTTATCGGGCGCCCTCGTCCCCGCCAGGATGGGACTAACGGGTCTCATGTATATCATGCGGATTTCAGGCTTGGGCTGTTTTAGGGCGTTGCCTCCTCGTCGCGGCAAGGGTCGATCTCAGGTTGCATTCGGCCCTTCCCTCCCCGCTTGCCGCGGGCGGCCAGGCGACCCCAAGAGGACCCCAGTACAGCCTTGGGGGAGGCGACGATTGGGAGGAGTTGGGAGTGGGGAGGAGGGGGAACGAGCAGGAGGAGGAGGAGGACAAGGAGTAAGAGGATGACGATGATAGGGATGGGCAGTTATCCTTTTGGGGGTCCTCGTATGCGAGGCGCGTTCGTCGCGTCTGAACGTTGTGCGAGCTTCCCGCCGACCTTCGTCAGTGAGTGCCTGGACGTCATGCAAGCAGACACTGTCCCCCGCTGGTGGGGGCTCCTGGCTACATGCCAAACTCTTCAATGAACGCGCAATTATTTTTCCAGGTCCCATGTAAATGCGTCCTTGCAAATCCCGGATGCACACTGCAGCTTCCATGCGCACCCTCTTCACCATGCAGACCCGTGCTCCTATCCTGTGTGGGGGGGTTCATCGAAAAGGGATGGGAGATGACCCTTCCGACGGAGGTTCCCCGTCTCTCTGGCTCTTCACCGCGCGCCCGCAGTCCCAATGCCCGATTGGTACAACTTGTGTTTCGGGGGAGTGCCTTGTGGCGCAACCTGTGGCACAACTTATGGTCGGCGTCACCCGCAACATACATATACTATATGTGCGTTGACCTCGCAGGGGCGATGCGCGCACCAAGAAATCTTATAGTATATGTGTCGTGGCGGGCGCTTTCTGGCCACACCGCTCGTGAAACGATATAGTACAACATGGGTCTACTAGATGTTTGGGTCGGGCGCGCGCCTCCAAGGATAACACATAGTACTAGTATGTCTTTGTGCGTCCCATATGGCGCGACCCATGCGCGCTGGACCAACTCGTGCTTTTGCTATGGCCTTGGGGTGCGCTGTTGTATGTTCGATGGGTCGTGGCCTCGGGAGCGCGCATCTGCTGTGACGCTGGCAGTTGCAGTGGATCGTGGCCTCTGGAGCGCGCGTCTGTTGCTGCAGGATATGTTTGCCTTGGGAGCGTGCATTTACAAGGGGTCGTGGCCTCATGAGCGCGCACCCTTGGTGACTTGCAAGGGATCGTGGCCTCTGGGAGCGAGTTCATTGCCTTCTTAAACAAGGCGGGCGACCAGAGCGCGTGGTTTCGGGCGCTAGGAAGTCGCTCGCGTTCAGAAGCAGAAAAGGTCGTAATTTTAATAACTGAGCGATTCGGAGTTGCGGAGGCTGGGTGGCCTCATCAGATTGCTGTGGTGGACAGTGCATTGTTGCATTCGAAGATAAATATCTGCTAAGAAGGTATTGTCACCACCTCGTAACCCAACGACCCCCACAAGGGGCGGCGTATTTTATATTTCCCACATGTGCCAACCTGCCCAGCTACGATACGGGAGTAGTCATCGGGAAGTTGGTAATAAAGGAGGTTCAGTAAAGGAAAGAGAGGAGACTGGTCAAACCGAAGAAGGGGCGGAGCCCGAGGAGCCTCACATGTTGGCATCTGGAGCACCTCGTGCTTGCATAGTGCACCTGGCGCAACTGCCGGGCGCGCCTGGCCTTCCTGACGCATTTGGCGCACGTGGCGGATCCCAGCGAGCACTGCGCACGCGGCGCAGCTATGCACCTTCCCGTCCACACCTGGCGCACTTGACTCACTTGCCACGCCTGGCTCGGGCCGGACGGAAGGGGGGGATAGGGAAAGAGGGGGTTACGAAATCTGCTGCATGCAGCTGGTTTCGGCCTCACCGAGGGGCTCATTCCTCGATACATGGGCGCCTCCTGGCGCCCGGAGGCTCCGGGAAAATCAGCTGCGTGAGCTGATTCTCAAATCCCCCCTTTGCTGTCCCCCCTTTCGCCCGACCCGACTAGAGCAACTGGCTTGCCAGGTGCACCTGGTTCGCCCAGCGAATTTGGTCCCCCCATTGCGCCTTGAACAGTGGGCGCGCGTGACGCTTTTGGCGAACCTAGCGCCCTTGAACACCACCCAAGCGCACAGCGCTGGGCGCACTTGATGCTTTTGCCGCACGTGGCTCGCCTGCCAGGCGCATCTGGTTTACCTGGCGCTTCTAGCGGATTTCGCGCGCGTGGCGCGCACCTTGCGCACCTGACGCAACTAGTGCCCTTGCGCACCCGGCGCCCCAAGCAGGTCTTGCTTGTCTGGCGCATACGGCGCACACGGAACATATCGCGGACAGGCGTTGCGACTTAGCATTTGCAGGGCCAATCTGCCTGTCAAGTGCAGCTAGTCAATGGGCCGACCCGCGTGCTCAAGACGACAGGCACAATTACACATGTTTCATTGGCTCAGAACATGACCCATCTACACGGGCGGGTACCCGTTTAAGCCCCACATGTTCACTGAACATGTCGGGCTTAAACGGGTAGATTCATTAATGAGTGGCTGAGGCGTGTGCGCAAGTGATAAGGTACCTCAGTGCTACTAGGATGGGCATGGAGGATTTGCTGGGTGGGAGGAGGAAGGGCAGGGGAGATGGCATGAGGACGTGGGGAGCTCGGCGATTATAGTCATCGGATCTCTAGTCTTGGGCCGCACAGCACGGGAAGCCTAACGATAGTGTAATTTCACTCAGGTTTTCGCGCCCCCCCGTGGTGGAATCAGTTTTCAGGGTTCTTCGCAGGGACTGAGACGGCCTTTTGGGCCGCCTTGACGTACTGCGGCTTCATGATCCATTTTGACGTTCTGTTTTATCCATCCAGGGGGCGGGTGTAGGCCTTCTCAACGTTCATCTTCAACGGGAAGAATATCGTACTTCACTTGAAGAACACGGCCGTGCCAGGCTTGACCATGGGCAGGACCGCTTCCGTCGCCTGTTTGGCTGCTACAGAAACGCGAGAGATGGGAAGGCGTTGGTGGACGGGGGATGGCTTAGGAGGACGACGACGTGGGGGATGGGGGAGGGTAATGGGTACTGGGCAGGGTTGGTTGAGGACGAGCGAGAGTAAGACGAGGATGATGAGGAGAACGATGAAGCGTGGCACATGCGAGGGAAGGGGGATGCCGAATCATAGGTTCCCTGAACGTGTGGTGCCTGTTCCCGTGCAAGTCATATTGTAGTGCTCGTGATGTGTAGTGCACTGTGCATGTGTCACTGACCATTCATGCGAACAGGGGCTTCACGATCGCGTTCGATCGTGGTACCCGATCCCTCGTCAACTTCATCTCTCTTTCTCTCTCTTTCTCTCCCTCTTTCACTTGTTCCTGTCCATCTGCTCTGCCCTCACCTGCGCACCCCCGCCACCTCTCGCTGTCGCCACCATCGCCTTGCGCACGCGGGCCGCCGCTCTCGCTACTGTTGCATTGCTCTATCTGCGCTCTGTGCATGCACTTGGCATCGCTCGGACGTGTGCACCTTTTCTCGGCGGGGATTCTTAAGGAACATCCTGGATCATCCTGCGGAAAAAAACACACACGCACGACGACCAAACAAAAAACATAGGGAATGGACGTCCGAGCGATGCCCAGCGCAGTGCCTTCTTTCCGCGGTCGGAGAGACCTGCATCACGGGCTCACGACGATGAGCCGTCGAACGGCTGGACCTTTTGTGACCCTGACGGCGTCGGTGGTCCTGCAGTCGTGGGATCTCCTGGCGAGGCCACCCGAGGCGGGAGGTGGCTCGGGAGGAGGAGGGCGAGGAGGCGGAGGTACGCCTCGAGCCCGGACGCCCGTGGCAGTGCGCCAGCCCCCGGGGAGCCAGCCACAACCGACACCTTCTTTCAAAATCCCATACTTTTTATCCGTAATGGCTTCGCCCCCTGCCGCTGGCCCCCTCTCTCGGAGAATGGGCCATGGAAGAGCTAAGTCATGAGGCCTTGGCGCTGTCGTGAAGCAGTATCGAAACTTCATGCGAAGCCGATTCGCAATCAGCAAAACCAACTGATCACAAGAGGGGTTACCACACCTGGCGATTGGTAAGACGTGTATGGTTTACGGGCTTGGTTACCACACCTTGCGATTAAAGGGCCGAGGGAGTTCTCGCAGTTTGGGTTACCACGCCTTGCGATGGATGTGCGTGAAGGGTGGCACCGAATTTCAGAAATGTGGCAAATCCCCTGTGTTTTTGGACCCTGACCCCGCGGATCTGCGTGAGGGGTGGCACCGAATTTCAGAAATGTGGCAAATCCCCTGTGTTTTTGGACCCTGACCCCGCGGATCTGCGTGAGGGGTGGCACCGAATTTCAGAAATGTGGCAAATCCCTTGTGTTTTTGGACCCTGACCCCGCGGATCTGCGTGAGGGGTGGCACCGAATTTCAGAAATGTGGCAAATCCCTGTGTTTTTGGACCCTGACCCCGCGGATCTGCGTGAGGGGTGTCGATTTCGAGCCCCCCCAGCAATTCAGACAACGCGCCCAGGAGACGCTAAAAATCTGGTTTGGGCCTCCCCCCCCCTCGCGCGGTCAATCAACTAGTTACAGTAACCAGCAAGAAGCAGAACTGTAACACTGGAAACTACAAGCTACAACTGGTACAGGAAACTGCGAACCTCGCGCCTACAGCCTGGTGGCCCCACAAGGGGGCCGGCGGACATCCTTAGGAGTTCTCCCTTACACACGGCGCGGGGTACGTCGCGCGCGGTCTTGATTCTCGTCGACGTTGCTCAATACGCGGCAGGAATAGGACGCAGCTCATGTCGCGCGCTGAACGTCTACCCGCCCACGAGATAAGATGATCGACAGGCGTCGGACGCGACGCACTTGCTTCCTATGTTGTGGGAGGGCGGGGTGGGAATGGACGGAACCCTCTGGCTCGCACGAGCTGGCTAACTTGACGCGCACCTGATCCTTCCACCCATTATGTCTTGGATCTTCTTTTGCCTCTCGTGCGTCACGGTGCACTGCGCCAGAACAGCCGGATCACGACATCGACTTCTGCATCCTACGCCCAGTCACCTACGCGCACACACGACTAGCACCCTCTACACGACCATTTTGGCCAGCGACCCGTCCACACTGCAGAATTTGCAGGCAGTAGCACGACGAGTCCGTCGACTTCTCCCAACCCTGCCTGGCACCGCAGGGAGAGAGGAGAACGAGCAGCTGCACGCACGCTGCTTTGAGTAGCGTATGCAAGGACATTACTCGACCAGCCGACTCACCAGCAACCCTAACAAACAGTACAGCATGGGGCTGCCCCCTTGGCTGCCGCGCTTGGTGCTCGCCAGGCACGGCCCGTCAAGCAGGCGTGGGCCTCGTTGTCAAAAGCACCTTCCTGGAGAACTTCGACCTGGCTTTGACTCGTTGGGATGAGGTGGTGCCTGGCAGGGCCGCGGTGCTCCGGCTTGCTGGGCCTCGCGGTTCGCTCGGCTTGTACACGGTCTATTTCGCGAGTGCCAGCTCCTGCATCGTCGTGCAACCGCGAGGCGGGCAGCAGCAGGCTGACCTCGACAGGGGGTCGCGGCGGCAGCGGGAGGTCATGCGCCGCAGGCTGGCTGCCAGTCTGGCTCCTGCTGGCTTTGTCCTGTCCATCGTCTCTGGGGACTTCAACAGGGTCACGGCCGAGTGTGGCAGATTTGCCAAGTCCACGGGCGAGTTTGTTGCGTTCCGCGCAGAATGCCTCGAGTGGTGCTGGGCTCCCCCCTGCATGATCCTGAGCCTCCCGCCTCTGTTTCCGAACAGCTTGGTTTTTGACGGAGAGCGAGGGGCCGTGAGACCGAAGTGCCGTCGAGCCTGGAGGCTGCGTCTTGGGATTCGGGGGCTGCTGTCTCGAGGGTGCGCTTCTGGCCGTCCAGTGGGCATTCTTGCAGGACGCTTTGCTTTCATTGCTATGGCGAGGCGCCCGCTTCTGGCCGTATATTTGGTTCAGTGCATGCTTTCTCCAGGAAGTATTTCGATAGAGACGTCAAGCTGCCGCCCTCCGTCCGCCGGGAGCTCCACTAGGCCGCCTCTCTGGGGCTGATCAGCGGGCTTCCTGGGCTACTGGGATCTATTCGAGCGACGCGAGCGAGGAGGGGCGGGACGTCTGCCAGAAAGACGCCGAGGTGGGGGCTATTGAGGGTGAGAGGTGGCGATTCCGACGCGAGGCTGGAGTCCGACCTCGCGACTGCCTCCTCGAGCAGAGCGACCTTCTGAACGCCGAGCCTGCGAAGTTCGAGCCGAGCGTCGCTGGAGGCGGAGGAGGAGGACCCTGAGAGCTGCTTGTGGGAGATCTCGGATGTGGGGGAGGAGCTGCGCGGAGGGAGGTGGCAGGTGGCGTCGAGCGGGGGATGGGCGAGGTCGGAGAACATTGTCGTCCTAGAAGGTCGCGCGCTCGTCCGCTCTCTCAGACACGCTTTACGTGGCCCGAAGTCTTTCGGCTAGCGCATCCTCTTCCTTTGTGATGACATTGGGCTCGTGTGTGCTATGGAGAAGGGGCGCTCATCCGCCGGGGGGGTCCTTCGGGTCGACCGCCCGCCATTGGGCCGCCTGGTGCCTGGCTGGGGCGGTGCAGGCGACGGTGCGATGGATTCCGTCTGAGCGGGGCGTCGCCGATGCGCCGTCGCGCCGTCGCATCCTCATCGGCGTCTGGATCGACACCTCGGAGGCGGACGCTGCCGCGGGGCTCGAGCGCTGGCGCCGCAGGGGCGCTGGCTCCGTCAGCAGGCTGGCCGACGGTCTCGGCGCCGGCCGGGAGCTCGCGGAGTTGGCCGTGCGAGGGGCCGCCGTCGGGGGGCTGCGGGGCGCCCGCCGTGCTGCGCGGAGCGGAGCTGTGCTCCCTGCAGCCGCCGCCGCGGCGCCGCGGAAGGCACCCGAGCGAGGCTGCTGCTCGGGCGCGCCTGGGGCTGGCGGCGAGGCCGCCTCGGGCAAACCGGGGCTGCGAGCTGGCGCGAGCGGCATGGCGTGCGCGGGGCCCAGCGAGCCGCGCTCGCCCGATGGCGCCGCGCGCGGGGGCCCTTTTGCTGCGGCGCGCGTCGGTGGCGCCGAAGACGGTGGCGCAGTGCGACCGTCTCTGGCAGGGCGCCCCGCGCGCGCGGCGGCAGCTGCGACCGCTCGGGTCGATCCAGCCGGAGCCGGGCGACGGCGAGGTAGACCTCGTGCTGGCAAGGTGGATGGGCCAGGAGTGTGCGTTCGGGGAGCTGGCTCAGAGAGGCGCCAAGGGCTTGGCGGCGGTGTAGTACTTGGGGCCGCAGTTCGTGCGGGCGGGGGGGCGCTTCCCGCCGCGGTCGGCGCAGGCGCTGAAGGGGTGGGGGCGGCCGGCCCCGGGGAGGGCGCGGCTGCCGCTGCCCCGGGGGGCGGTCGCGCTGATCGCGCCGGAGTTGCTGCTGGCAGTCGACTGGGCGATGGCGCCCTGGGCGGGGGTCGCCTTCCGCTGCTGCCTGCGACCCCTCGAGCTGTAGCGGGTCACCGTCGACGTGCTGGCGCCGCCCGCCCCCGGGGCTCACGCGGCGCACTGGGCGATTGTCTTGCGCCCCAGCGGGGAGGCAGAGGGCAGCGAGGCGAGGGAGTTCGACGAGACCGTGGCATTCGACCTGCCGCTCTTCCACTTCGCGCCGCCCGCGCTCGCCTGCCCCGAGCGCGAAACGCCGCCCGGGCAGCCGGTGTTCGCCATCGGGCAGGCCGACCTGGTCGTGCAGTTCCGCGAGGCGGCGCTCCGCGCGGGCCTGCAGGCGCTGGGGCCCGAGCTGTGCGCGGTGCGGCGCAGCGGGCCGAGCCGCGATTGGGCGCGGCAGTTGCTGGCGCTGCAGGAGATCAAGCTCCGCGGCCGGCGGCGCTGCGACTCCAGCGCGAGGCGGTGCCGGAAAGAGGGGCGGGTCGGCGAGCAGCTGCAGCGGCTCGCGCCAGACGCGCGCCAGGGAGCGGTCGAGGCGGCGGCGCGTTGGCCG